TCCTAACTTGCGGTTTACATTTTATCTGAGCTTCTAGGATTATAGTTTTAAATAGTTTCCAAGCTTCCGAATGGGATTTGACCCTATTTACCTTTACTTTCCATTTCTTCTTCACAAGCTCCCTCATTTGATAGAAGTTACTTTTTCTAAAGTTAAAAGTGATTATGTTGGTCTTTTGGGGCAACTCCCTATTTACATTAATGTTTAACTTAATAGCCTTATGGTCACTGTTCCCAACCCATGCTATTACATTTACTTCTCTCACCAAGTCTTGGGCATTATGTAGGACCAAGTTGAGGATCGCCTGTTCCCAGTAGATTCTGTGACCATCTGCTCCATGGTACAATCATTGAGAGTATCTTTTTCTCCTGACTTGAACACATATTGACCCAATCAATGTGTGGGTAATTAAAATCACCTGTTATGACAGTTATTTCATCTTTCCTTAATTCCTTTTGCTATTTTTAAATCATCCTCTAACCTTTGCTCTGGTGGGTGATAACAGACTGCCAGGGTTAAACTTCCTTTTGAGCACACTTACATTCTCAATCTTACTGGACTGTATACCCTCTCTGACATACAGAACCACTCCACATTCTTCATTTGCCCAACAGTGGCTTTGAATTCACACAACAGAAGTGCTCGTTCTATCCATGAGATAATCATGAGTGGCACATCATTAAGTAATTCTATTATCAGTTAAACCCCCTTCTGCTAACTAGCTGGGAAAGGTCAAATAATTGTATGCAGTGGTGTGGAAAGGCTTATTGTTGATATGTCCTGGGAAGGATGGCAAAGGACTTTGTTAATGTTGTTTGCAAATGGAAGATTAGGATCCCCGGGGAACATATCCCTTCTGGCTGTTTGGTTGCTGTTGTTTAATTTAATCTGTTGTCTGCAGGCGTAGTTATAAGGATATATTTTTGCAAGGTTGTTGAACTCTGATGCACTCTTATTGTCAACTACAGATTGGTAAATATAGATATGTCTTGCGGCCAGTGATATTTTTTAAAACCAGTAGCCATGAACAGTTGTTCAGTCCTACTGGAGAATTATAGCGTTGTTTGTATTAGTCTTTTCTGCCTTCTCAGTAGTATACTGTTGGAACAAACATATAAAATACTACATATAGTTTATTTAAAGAACCCTGAAATCTGTGCCTTGTGCTAATTAGAGTGTTATAAATCATTACATTGAGGGTTAGGGAAGATCAAAATTGATAGCAGTGGGATTTTGATAATCTTGTTAGTGAACCAATCCCTGGCATAGGCTATTTATTTGTAGGGACTAGTAGTTTCTTCTTTAATTGCTGGTCTAATTTTAGACATCACAGAATGAGAAAGCACATTAATTTCATCTATATCCCAAAACAGATCTAGAAACTGAGGTTGGTCAGATGAAAGAGTTGCAGTGTAGTGAAAACAAATCCTATTTAAATAAGACCAGTTCCAATAATTAGTTAAATTTAATCCCTGTGTTTATTTGGTTTGCACAATCAAATCTACAGTGAGATTTGCATAATCTTATTTTCTCAGCTTTCTGCTTGTTCTTTTTTCTTTGTGTTTTCCCATGGAAGAAACAGATGATGCAAGAGCTCTTATTTTTGGATGAAGATGTAGATTTTTAATAGACCAACGCGATTCCATTGACTGACTTTGGCAGGGAAGTCAGGCAAGCAGAACCAAAAATAATTACTTTTCATGTCAGGAACAAAAAAGTTAAGATGATGAAGAAAGAGCTTGCGAAAGATGTATGTGAATCAGATCACTGACAAAATTATGGAAGCTCTAACACACAAAGCATCAAATGATCTCTTTTTTAAAAAAATAGGCGAAGACAAAATTATAAACCATCAAAATCAAGTTTTCAAATTAAAGCATAAATTTGGATTTAAGCATCTGCAGCAATTACTAATAATTTAAATTGATTCCATTGTTAACCAAAGGTTTGGGCTACCCTTTCCTATGCAGCACATAAGAATCACTTGACAGTAAATTAAAAAAGAAGTGAGGTACATAGATAACTGCATATCCAAAAGTGTTACCAAGATATACTTTCTGAGTGCATTTGAATCCTTGTGTCATCCATTTAACATGGAATATCAAGGCTTGGGTCCTGAACTCTTTTCCATTCCTGCTTGGAGAAGAAAGGGCAATTTTCACCAATTTCTTCCTCTCACTGGAACTCCTCACTTTGCTCCGTATGATGTTCATGGGGCTTCACTATCCCATGGAGGAGTATAATTGGTAGGGAGCACAATACAATACAATCACCGCTTGGGATTCAGGTCTGTGCACCACCGTACTGCTAACTGCAAGCCCCTTTAAAGGGTCTTTTTGCAAGCGGAGCTGTGGCCAGTGACAGCCCCTCTCCCTCCTTGCTGAAAGAATTAAAGGGCCCTCCCCACTGATCAGCTGAAGCCCTTTAAATCTCTGCAGGAGGGGAGGGAGAGGGGTGGCCACTCTTGGGGGTGGGCTTGGAGGTGGGGCTTCCCCCACCGGCCAGCTGGCCAGTGGCAGATTGGAGCCCCCAGAAGCAGAAGAACCCCTACCTGGACCTGGGGGCTGGCAACCGTAGTGTGTGTGTGTGTGTTTGTCTCTGTCTGGAAGTCATAACAACCTCGGACAACTCTACTGGGGCATGGACAATGTCCAGAAAAGTGGCTTGATCGCCTGCCTCTGCCTCTCAGCCCTGGTATTCTTTGGAGGTCTTCCATCCAAATAGTTGCCAGGGTTGGCCCTGCTTAGCTTCTGAGATCTGACATGATCAGGCTTGCCTGGGCTATCCAGGTCAGGGCAAGATGGGTTTGCTAAGAATTCAAAATTTGCTGGAAGAAGGCGGGGCAATAGTCTAGCAACATGGTTGAGTTTTCTCAGGGCTCTGAGACTCACCAACTTCTGGAGCTTTTTTAGGGGTCCATTTGGTTCTCCTTGGTCCCATCGGTTCGTTGGGAGTACGAACTGATTGCAGAGGACTTTTATATCTGAGCTCCCCCCGTTTGTGGCAACAACGGGTGTGGAGTCAGAATCGTCCTAATGCAGGAAGCACCGAAGACCAACCGTGATAGCACGACTGACAAGCTGTATTACCCCTTTACAAAGAGCCTTCAAACCTCGTCATACCATCTAGGCGAAGAACCTGTGAGTACTTTCTCTTTCTTAACAGTTTTCAAGCTTGGAAAACAACTTTTATTTGCCCCTATAAATTTTCCTGAGAAGCTAAAGGAGGTGCTGAGGAATCTTCCCTCACTCATTCCTATGATAAGCGGCGAAACAGAGCTCCGGAGCGTCAACATCAATATAAATACAAAGGGCAGAGTAATATATTGAAATCTCCTATCTGCTATTTGGAAAACACCTTAAATATTGAAGAACAGTGACTTACTTTATTTATGGGGTCTGGACATGAAATAGCAACGAAGCCAGCACTTTTAATGGCGTAATTCCAAAGAGATGATTGTTTACAAGAGTCTCTGCTTAAGTGCGAAATGGCTTTTTTAGCACAAATCAGAGAGGACTGGCAATTGTCAAAAACTGTTTGGGATGAGATTATTCTACGAATACAAACTAAAATACTTGAAGCTATCTCTCCATTTTTGGAACAAATCGAGAGTGTTTTTGAGAGTGAACAGACTAGTTTACTTGAAATAACAGACCCTTCATTGCAAATGACGCCATCCTTGTCCCAAAAGCTCAACTGATCTGGAGATGTGATCCCGAATACGAGAGAAGTAACAAAAGGCTACTCTGACTGCTTAAAGTCCCCAGTTTTCTTAGTTATCAAGCACAACGAGGCGTTTATACAGGCTGTGGGTTGTTTGATTTCGCATACAAGCAGTTTGGAAGGGGAGGGGGAGAACTTCAAAGCGTCTTCAGAAAAGGAACAGACTTCCAAGAGCTGCTATATAAGTAAGATTGAGACCTTCAAAGATCAAAGGCACAGGGGATTAACAATTTTGGGGAGACATTTGCAGGGTAAACAGAATAAATATAACCTGTATAACTAATTTGTAGCAATATATCTTGATTGTTTGCATGGTGAAACTGACTAATAAGAAGATTTACCTAAAGTGAACTCTCAAACTGCAAAAGAAAAACAATAACAATAACACATATTTGTTCATATATTATTTCTTTCTGCCTTCTTTTCACTGAACCTTTACTGATACTTGCTAAATGACTGATTAAGAATATAATCTGTAGTTACAAATATTGACTATCTTTATTGTCTTAACTGATTAGTGAAAGTTAGAAGTAATGGTTGGTTTATTTGAAGCAATATGTTTTGGATATTTGTAATGCTCTACCTGATGGTTGATAAAAATTAAAGGGTAGTTTTGACTCTTAAAGTGGGCCTTGTAGGGGAAAAACAAAAGTAATGGGCTAATTACCTAGAGAAGGTGTAATGACCCTAAGTGTTGTGAGAGAAAAGAGGGATCTATATAGTGTGAGGTGAAAGTATATTCGCATTGTAAAGTTGAGAGTTGATGTTATGGAGAAAATATAAATTACTATGTTTAGGTTTGCAAACGGGGATTTTGAAAGCTAACAATACTTTTTGAAATTTTGAAAGAATATCTTAAAGGGACTAGATTGATATTCTATAAGAAATTTGAACTGTCTAACTGCTGTGATATACCTGTGTGTTTTTTTTCTGTTATATTTTTATATTTTTATTGTTATAAAACTGATTAATAATAGTAATAGCAGGTAGGATATAGAAAAAATGAATTGTTTATTGGAATTTTACTTAATGTCATCTGTTGTGGACTATAGATTAACAAAGGGGAAAAGGGAATTATGTCTCTAAAGATGTTATGAACGAAGCAATGGCTAGATACCTTTGAAGTGTATGGCTCTCTTTTTTATTTTATATAACTCTTTAAAAAACTAATAAACCTTGCCCACCAACAATGGGCAAGCAGGGGGGGAAAAAAGAATTCAAAATTTGCTGCTTGCTAATATTTTGCCTATTTTATTCTCTTTTGCACTGACCTACAGGTTGTTGCTGATACTAACATCAGTGCCATAGCCAGCCAGCTAGAGAGCATGACCGCTGGCACTAATCTGAGTCCACCTATCAAACACCATCCTGAGGATCTAGAGTAAGTATGCATGTTCTCTTAATGCTTTGGGTATTCTAGAAGAGGCCAGATTACTGCTCCAAAGAACTGGGGGGGGGGAGCTTTCTGTTAACAGATATTAGATTTATAATACGATTCTGTTGCTTCCTCTGTGGTGTTTGAATATACATTATGTTTTAACTTTTTTTCCCTATACCAAGAGATTATGGATTTATAAGTTTTGTGCTGCTCTCTTTTCAGAGCTTGTCCTTTCTGCTGGTTCTGTGATCTTTGTTGATACTCGTCTTTTAACTGTTTCTGTATTTGACCTTTGGTAGCTGCCTAGACAGTAAAAGATGAGAGTACAAGATAAAAATGTCTTAAATAATAACAAACAAATACATTTGTCAAGGGTAGAATAAGAATTTTGAGCTTCTATCATTTTGCCAGCTGTGAAATTTTGAATCCCATAAACTGCTGTCAAGGTTTGCATTTAGATATATTTGACAGGCTTACACTTGTTACCATATGGTACCATATGTTTGTGGCATATGGTACGGTGGTAATGATTTGCTAGTGGTATGCTGAGATCAGGAAAGTATTTGGGAGAGACAAGGTGCCTAAATTCTGGTTCCTCCCCATGTAATTTGAAATAATAGAGATACATGCAACAAAAGATGAAATGCATAGAATAGTTTAATGCTGTGCATTTAATGCATTTAATTCTGTGCTGTGCATAGGTTTTCACTCTTCAGTAGGATAAATTATTTGATTGATTGGTGTACTTTGGGCAGAATTTTTTTCTCCCAGATCACTGTGTAAAAATCCATTGATGTGTCTTCACATTTGGCTGAATTACTTTGGAGCATTATCTAATATTTGTAACATAGTGCACCTTTCTTTTGCACTTCACGTGTGCCACACAATGACCTAAGTAATTTCTTACTCAGAATTGCATTGTTAACAGAAATTCTGCATATACATCATATGATTCAGAATTTTATGGCAAGCAGAATCTCTTTTAAAAGTTGATTTCTAAACCTTGTGGACTGGGGGGGGGAGTATGGGTGATGCTTTCTAAAAATTTAGCAAGGGGGGATGGAAGAGAAAATCCATAAGAGGTTAAGGAATGGGATCATTGCCCTTTCTAACAATAAATTATACAACTAAGCAAATATATGTAGATTTTCTCAGTTTCATATATTGCATACACTGCACAGTTTTGCTTTTCTTGGTATAGATGTGCACAGTTCTGCCCTTTGGAAGCTGAATGTGGAACATCGTGCCTCTATGTGCAAAACTGACTAGGTGACTTTTGAATTACATCCCAGTCCTGTTGTTTTATGAGTATAGGTTTGCTATGTACTCTTAATTCCCCCTTGTATCCCCAATGTTCAGCATTCGTCAAAATACCATGTCCTCTTTTTTGGTGGATAATGTAAATATTTTTGCTTTCAACTGCTAATATAACTGCTAATATCACAAAAACATGCAAGTGTGAATCTTTTTTGGTTTTGCTCTTTTGATTTATTTCTGACAACCCACTCCCCAGAGTTCCCCCCCCGACATATTGTCATCTTGATTCTGCTCCTGTCTTCTTCTCTTTTTTTGCTTGAGATGGGTTTTGACAACTACAATTCCAGATGATCTATCCTTAGAGAAATTAAATAAATGCGGAATGGCTTTCAGCATTTTCCCTCAGAAAACTTCAAGATACATGCTCCATAAAGTTTTGGGGAGATAATTTTTAAATCTTTTAATCCTTTGATTCATGAAAATTATCAAGCATTCAGTAACATTTAGTCACTGGGATTAAAATTATTCCCTGAATAATAGGAATTGCTTGTATCCAGCAAACAGTCAGTAGCATGAATCTCACAGAATGGGACTTTTTTCTTCCCCCTGTCATGCTGAATCCCATGAACCTCCCCCACATTAAGGTTACCAACCTCCAGATGGGGCCTGGAATTCTCACAGAATTACAACCGTTCTCCAGACTAAAGATATTAGATCCCCTGGAGGAAATGGCAGGTCCAGAGGGTGGATTCTGTGGTATCAAATCTCTG